AAACAAATAAACAGTCCGCGGATACAATACAAATGAAAAATTATCGCATACAAATAAGAAATTTTACAATACAAATAAGAAATTATACAATGCAAATGGAAAATTATACAATACAAATAAAAATTATACAATACAAATGAAAATTATACAATACAAATAGAAAATTATAGAATACAAATAAAAATTATACAATACAAATGAAAAATTTTACAATACAAATAGAAAATTATACAATACAAATAAAAATTATACAATGCAAATGGAAAATTATACAATGCAAATGCAAAAGATCGAATATTGCAACGTTTGACATGCCATAGAAAACATGTAAAAAGTGTAACTAAAAGCACTTTTTTCTTTCAAAATGAATTTCAGCTTACCTGATGGTGCATGAAATGTTCCCAATGTGTTTAGCCTTGGTTCTCATGGAGACTGAATGATCTTCATTAACTTTGTCGCAAGCGAAGTAGTGTTTACATGTGAACACTGGTGAGTCGCCTACAACCAGATTGGTCACATTCTGGGGCTCAATTGTTTCTGTATGGTGTCTGCAATCTTAAAACAAAAAAAAAAAATACTTAAATTTTGAAGAAGGATCCAAGTCTCACTCCCACAGTGTGACTAATATATGTGATATCTTGTGCATGCATTTTCATGATGAATTGGTGTTTGCCAGATTTCACATTAATTTTTATACTATCTCGATGAATAGATTTACCAGTCATGATGAGTAAAGTATAATTTCATTAATACATAAAAAAAAAACTTTGAAATGCAAAGTGAAAGTAAACCTTATGTGATCATATTAATTTATTATAGATTTTTGTCTGTAATTTAGTGAAATCAGAAACTAAAACTATTACTTCATAATAGCAAATTGAAACACAAATATAACAAGCATTCTAAACGAATTAGCGTCGACATTGAAACCAAGTTTAAGATGAGGTAGTGTTTGGATTACAATTCCTTATATACGTACTTTACTTACGAAAGGCTTTTACGGTGTAACTTTTACAAAGATTTTCTGATCCATCTCCTTGAACAACCCTACATTCATACGTGATGTTTTTCTTTAGGTTTCGGACACTTTGTACCAGCAATGTTTTATCATTATTTACCAGAAGTGGACCCCAATCGTCTTTCGATATTTTAATTAAGGATCCATTCTTATACCATCTTTTTGATTTATTTAAGCCGTCTTCAGAAAGACACCCACAGTTCAGCTCTACCTGGGTTGTAAATTCAACATATCTGATAATCCCACCAAGGCCTGAAATTGAAAATTAATCAAAATAAACTGATAATTCTTTCGATTCAAAATTATGAAGGCGTGTTGTTATTCACTTTCAACAAATTCGTGATTCTTTTCTTCTTTTGTTTCGGTATACATTACATGCACGAAATGATGTTTGTTATTGACCTTCGAAAAACATGTTTAATGTGTTTTAACAAAATTTTACCAAAATCATTAGCATCAAATTTTTCAACTATTTAACACTTTATACAAACATTCTCTAAGATAAATAACTAGTGTTTCCATAGCAAATTTGAATAACAAACCTTTATTAAGCCTCTTTTTTTCATTAAAACTGTAAATTGCAATTTTACATCAAAATATTTAAGACCAACTCAAATTGCTGTAAACGAGCTAATAAGTAACAATGAATGTTAAGACAATGTAAAATATCGTGAATTGAATATTGGTAATTGGAAAATTTTGGATGCATTTTCCTATTTAAACATGACAGCACAGTTTTTCCTTAATTTTGAGGTTGATTCTTTCTATGCTAGGAGTAAGAGAATATGTCATCTGGTACTCTCAATTTAAATACAGGATGTGTTTAATAATATTTTTATAGGTAAAATTGTAGTAATTGAAACTTTTGCATATTTCAAATAATCAATATTTTAAACCTTGAAAAGGGATATCTTTCTCCTAAAGAGAACATTGAGAACGTATTTTTGATCGTTGCAACTATTAAAAAAAAGAAAGAAAGAAAATGCTAAACATAAAGCACAAAAGAAAGAATGTTTTCTTATTGGAAATACGAAATTATAAATTGAAACCAACAATGATATCAGGTTAAGAACACGATTTTCTTATCTATCCCTTCCCAAACCATTAGTTTGTCAAAGAACAAGTTTTTTCACACTTTATGGGAACCGTAATTGTATCAAAATAATATTATTTAATATTTTAAAAATATTTCACTTACATTTATTTTTTAATGTAGTTTTGAATATATTTCCTTTACATTGCAATATTTTTAATTCAAATAAAATATTTAACCTTTTGAAAACGTTCTCAAAGAGAAATAAATCTTCATTTCACAAGGAATGATTTTTTTAATTGTTATATGATACATATATTTCTCTGGTTTAGTAAGAATACTTGAATACAAAGTTTTTGTTTTGAGAGAGAGAGAGAGAGAGATCGAGCACAAGGCACATTACCTGCAACTGGTGTATTAAATATTATTGCACAGAAGAAAGCAATCATTCTTTTTTGTTTATACATTCCTATTAAAATTATATTAAAGACAGTTTTATATATACTTGCTAATTAAAAAAGGGGAATTCAAGATAGTCATATATACATACCGATAAATAAGAGGTGGTTATTCACAATGTCTACGTCATTTGTTCAAGGCAAACTTCCTCAATTGACAAGGGAAAACAAGGGGTTTTTTTTATTATGTTAGTTGAAGACGTACATGTATGTAAGGAAAATGACCATATATGTGTATTGTTGATAATACAAAAGTCCTAAATTCGCCAATTCATCAATGGTGCTAAAGTATCGATACATGCTGTTAAACACAACACAATCAATTAAACTCTGAAGGTTAAAATCTAGACTCAAGTGATTAAAGTTTGTAAAATTTAGAGGATGGTCGTTTGAGTAGTTCAAATATTCATAACCTATCACGCTGATTAACGTTCTAACAGCATAAAATACTAAACCCTTGCAGCATGTCCAACCTAAGGTACACTAAAAATCAGGTTTCAGCTGTTAAGTTTTTGTGATAAATTTCGACCAATCAAAACCCTGTAAAACATTTGAACATTAACAAGAGACTGTAACAAACTATTTACTCTTTTACCTCATCATTTTATGGTTATATAGATCTAGTACTGTTTTCAGACATATTTAAAAAGACAAACTTTCTAGACAATGTTGCATGAAGACTTTTTACCTTAACTAAGGACTTTTGTAAAGAATGCAGCTGTCAAATTTTCATTACGTGCAACTCGGCCTTAATAGTTGTACAGTTTTGCAAGATAGAAATTCAGATTATCGATATATTACATGCAAAACTTGATACTGAAAATGACCAACAAAAGTTTATTTTTAATAATACAAAAATAAATAATTAATCAAATCCCTAAATGTATTAATCAATCAATCAATCAATGTTACCATATTGGGATATACGGACCACCCTTTCCCCTCCTACTCTCCTCCTCCTCTTGTTCTCCCGTCCCTTTTCTTCCTTCCAATCTTCTCTTCTCCCCCCCCCCCCTTAATTAAATTCAGTGTCATAATTTTCATATTTTACGTAATGGGTTTTTATTATATAACTTTGCTGCATGGATTGAATTCAAATAGTACAATGGCCGATGATTATCGAATATTCGCCACTCTAATTGGGCTTTAAAATTATATATGATACAGTTACATCAGCCAAACATGGCATACTTTGTTATATTGACAGCTGAATGTCCATTTTTTCAGGTTTTGTTGGCAATGTAACAAGAGGGACATATACAGGTATATAAACACCTATCTTATTTATGAATGTCTAATTTTGACTTCATCGACACAACTAACCTAAATAGAGCAACAACATCTACCGTGCGTCAGATTCTAGAAAGATAGCAAAAATATAAGAAAATATATTAATATACAACAGGATGATCTGTATTCATTCAGTGTACACATATTCGTAAACTGTGCATCAAATATGCAATACATGTATTTTGTGATTTATTTTCAGAACTTTGTTATTCATATTCGAAACTATAAACAGAAATTTCTGATTCTTATTCGACAAATTATAATTCATATTCGATAATTTTGGAATATATATACCAAATCTTCTTACGAAAACAGTTGATTAAAGTTGAATAACAAGTTTTCGAATATAATTTTCGGGATGTTTTAATACCAATCACAAGATTTTGCATTTTACTAACAAATTTAATTTACTAGCAAATTTCACCTAATATAAAGCAAAATTTGTTTGTGTTTTTTTTTAATTGCAACATTTTTTAAATCATAGAACTTTAAAGAAAAATAAGAAAACCCGATATATCAGAAACCATCGCTAGATATGGAAAATAAAAACATCAAGGAACGAAGAAGAACAAAACATTTCTATTTTTCTTAATGTATAATAATTTCTGCAAATCCTTGATATGTTGAGCATAAGTAACACTTAAAGCATATCCTTACGTTTTACAGTATAATATACATGCACTCTAATCACATAAATACATCCTTACAGTGTCTTGTAAGTTAACATTTTTACTCTTGTACTATGAATTCAACAATTTCCATTACAATATTCAATAAAATATATTCATTATTAGTTTGAACAATAAATTATACAACGAGATGAATAACCTCTGTATAACAGTTGATATGTGACATGGTCGTTTTGGTCGATCCTACTTATATGTATATCAGATTAATTAAATTATAAATATTAAAACAAAAATGTTTGGTATTTTGACTCTATAATAAAATTTTACATTTTTTTAAAGAGTGATGTTAGATAATTTGTCCCCTATTCAAAATACACTCTGAGACGGATTTTCCCCCAACACTCTAGCTTACTTACATTCAAGAAAAAATGTCAAAATTAATTAATCTTGACAAACATCTTCATTTCTTCAAAATAACATAATTTTCCTGGTTGTAAAGGATGTGACGATAAAATCATTTGGGGTGTGTTATCAAAAAATTGTTATCATAATTAATTTTATGACGTACTTCTTGTGAAAAATCCTAACTGGTAGTCTAGGGTGGTATACGTGGGAGAGATTAGCTCAGGAAATGCCACTTTTTAATCCAATAGAAAAGATTCCTAATCTGATAATTTTCTGCTCAGTAACTATTAAGTAAGTTCATTCATTATAGAACTTAGTTCTATGAAGTAATAATATTCATAGGTTATTCTTGTGTCGAATTCGGTGTACTGAAAAAAGCAACAGTACTTTCATTCTTGAAGACAACTGTCATCATAAACATGAGTTTCCTTTCGTAAGTACATTGAAAAAAATTAAAATTTGTGAAATAAGAATAGTGATAACATTTTTTTTATTAAATTCACAACCATCAAAAAAGTAAGTAAATAAATAAACCATCCTCACAACGCAATGGGTCCTCCAGTGGGCTCAGGACCACTGACGTTGTGATGATAAATCTTAAAATGTTTCATCATTTTTATTTTTACATTACAGTAATGGTTGAGAAAAATACATCTTAATTGTTGATTTTTTATGGTTAATTTGAATTTGTATAACTATTTCATTTGATCTAGACTATGAGAAGGAAGAAGTCTCCGAATTGAAATAGATCTGCAGTTCTTTTGTACGTTCTTCCCAAAAATCAAATTGAATTTGAATTACCATACCGATACTGGATTCTACAATGACATGAAAATGTCAAACAAAGATACATAGCGGGTTCCAGTAAATGTTCTAGCAAGCCTCTTTGCTTACTCCTCACTAAAATATTAACAATATTGATGGAGAAACTTCAGGAGTACTGCACAACAATATATTTGACAAGTGGTGTAAATCAGATATAGATACTTAACAAGGAGCTTTTACAAAATTTAAAATCACAAATTTTTACCAAAATCAAAAACAGCAAAACGTACGAATTTTCAACAATTTACAAACCATTCCCCACGATAAATTAAAGTCCGGGGTTTTTGACGTCATAGACAGCTGCTTTTTCAATAAAAAAAGGAATTGGTAAATTTACATACGTTTTCATTGGTCATTTGCAAAATTATTTTGTTGAGAAACTCAATATCAGAATGTTTTTTAACAAAATAATTTTGCAAAATAACCAATGACAAAGTATAAAGATTTACGAGCTCCATCTTTATTAAAGAAGTAGTTGTCAATGATGTCAAAGAGTCAGACCTTTAATTTATTATGAGGAATGGTTGTATAAAGTGAACTTAATTCAATTTAGTTGCAAGCTAGGAATATTAAAATTTTAAAAACTGACAAAATATTTTGAAGAAATTTCCTCCTTAGAATAGGACCTAAATCCAAGTTCCTCTAAAATACAATTGTAATAATGAGCCTTACTTATTAATTGTAGGGATGACAATTTCTAATCGGTTAATTAACCGATTACTCGGACGGAACGATGGAAAACGTTTGGTTAAAATGTCATCGAAATAAATAAAACATGTGTGAAATTGAACGCAATATCCTTATAATTCAACTTTTTAAAAACTCTAATAGTTGATAAGTTGTGACATATCAAAGCTAATTTGGAGGTTATTAAAGCTCTCCGGAATGAGATTGTGGGGGTAAATGGTCAGTTTGTAAAGTGTTAATTACTGTTAAAGACAGCATTTCGCTACTCAGCTATTCTGTGTTCTTCTATTTATCATATTAATCAAATCACCGTTGAGAACTGTAAACTGATTATAATGTGTGTCTTGCCCCGCCTGCATGTCCTTTGAAGTTAACTATCAAATAATAATATTAAACAAACTTCGTAAAGTAAGTGATAGTTCAAACTTAGTTCTCATTATGATGGCAATGCAGGATGAATTTCACTTGTGTGATAACCGGTTTGAAAAATTATTAATTTTTAATTAATGTTTCTGATCTCTCAGACATTTTTCCTAGTTTTCTTATATTTTCCTGCATATTGAAAAATATGTGTATATAGTATTCTGAAGAAACTTCAAAAGAATATTACTAACGTCTCTTTTAGTCTTCCTGTGTACATGTATATGATTAGTGTTACCTAAAAAAAAAAAGATGTCAGGAAAATGTGTAATTTTATACGATTAACCGACTATGCGGTCGGAACATCTTGAGGTTAACCGATGGGCAGTCCAGTATTCGATTGATTTGCCTACAATGTACATGTAGTTAAATGCTTTGCCAGCTGGGACCAGTACATGTTGATCATGTAATCCATCTAATTCTTTTTTCACTTCTGAATTATTGAAGATATAGAAGGATAGATGGTTTTCATTTTGCCCCTCAGTCATTTAACACAAGATTTCAACATCCATCTTATACTTTTAATCCATTCTGACAAAGTGTCAAGGTCTTCTCTTTCATCTCTGACCCATCATCTGGCATAATCTTCAACAGAATTCTTAATACTTATGAAATTTTGTGCCAGTTGAAAGATCAGGGTTCCCTAAAATTTTGCCCCTTTAAAATAAGTTATTTTAAGGTCCTTACTGTTATCTATATTCATGTCACCAGTAAAGAGGCTCCAACAGCTAGGAC